TAGGCGGGGGTGGGGGTGGGGTGGCAGGGGGGTGGGCAGGAGGGCTTTGAGGTCTCTTTTGCTCAAGCTTCCTGCAGTGTGACTGTCAGTCACTTTCCTGTTGCCTGCAAGATGTAGGACTCTCAGCTACTCCAGCCCCACATCTGCCTGCACACTGCCATGCTCTGTCATGATGATAATGGACTGATCTTCTGAAACTGTAAGTGAGCCCCCTCAATTAAATGTTTTCCTTATAAGATTTGCCATCGTGATGGTGTCTCTTCACAGTGATAGAGACCCTAAGACAATTACTGAAGAGGTTCTGCCAGTAAGTAGCAGATACCACACCAGTGTGGCCCCAGATTCACCTGGCACCCATCCCACTGTGTGCCCAAAGTTCTCCCAGTAGCAGTCACTAAGTTGTGTAAGGAGTCAGGTTGCCCTGCCACTGAAGCAGCTAAACAGTTCAAGAGCAGTCACAGCTGAGGAGGTGGCTCAATGATAATGTGTTAGGATCTGAGTTTAAATCCCCAACACACACACAAAAGCTAGGCTTGCTGAGCATGGTGGCGCACGCACGCCTTTAATCCCAGCATTCAGGAAACAGAGGCAGGCGCATCTCTGTGAGTTTGAAGTCAGCCTGCTCTAAGAGCAAGTTCCCAGCCAGATGGGCTACACAGTGAGGTCCTATGTCAACAAACAAACAAGTGACCAAGTTCCTGCATACAGATTATATGCAACATGAAAAAGTTTAATATCTTGAATAAATTGCTTTCCACATCCTGCTAACAGCCTTGCTTCCTTTTGGTTGCAATTTTCTGGCTCCAGTACATACAATGCACCCACTGAGCGCTGGAAACGAACAGCCCTACTCTCCAGTGACTTCTGGCTGACCCAAGGCCTAGTGACTCTGCGCTTTGAGCATAAAATACCAGGGCTTGTTGATGCACACCTGTAATAACAGTACTTGGGAGGTGATGGCAGGCGGATCAAAGTGGAAGTCATCCTCAGATACACAATACAGAGTTCAAGGCCATGCTAGGTTACTTGAGAACAGGTAACAGCAACACAGTACGACGTGCTCTTGGACATCCAGGACTACCAAGGACTGGCAGATGCCCCGCCCTTTAGCAGCGCCAAGCACATACTGAGCATGCGCCGCTCGCCGACGGAAGCCGGGAAGGAAGGGGGCGGGCCGTGGCTGGCGGGCGCGGGGAAAATGGCGGCGGCGGCTGCGAACGGGAGCGGAGGCAGCAGCGGCATGGAGGTGGATGCAGCAGGTAACGGGCTGTGCGGAGCGACTTCTGGCATCGCCCTTGCGGAGTATCTTGAGTACTACCTAAGCCCGGGAGAAGCGACAGACAGCTGTCCCAGCGTAACTTGCGGGCAGGGATGGACGGCCCGGCTGCGCCGGTCCCCTACTCCCATGTCTAGGAGAGAATGTGAGGGCCCGAGCTTTCACCGCTGTGTTTTCCTTTACCTTTCACAGCCCCCAGCGTGATGGCCTCTGGAGTGACTGGGAGTGTTTCCGTCGCTCTTCATCCCCTTGTCATCCTCAACATCTCCGACCACTGGATCCGCATGCGCTCCCAGGAGGGGCGGCCTATGCAGGGTGAGGGCTGTGTGTAGACCTCAAACCCTCCTCTTGGAGACCTCCTCCAATCACTTTTCCCTCGCCTCCCACTTCTTCCAAATTAGTTCCCTCAATCATTGATTCACACTGACCTCAGAGTCTTGGGTTATGAGGAAAGATTTTGGATGCCTGTTCCCTCACCTATCTTTGGTGTGCTTCTCTCCTCTCAGTGATTGGGGCTTTAATCGGGAAGCAGGAGGGGCGAAATATCGAAGTGATGAACTCTTTTGAGCTGCTGTCCCACACCGTGGAAGAGAAGATTATCATTGACAAGGAATATTACTACACCAAGGAGGAGCAGTGTGAGAGGGGATACAAGTGGGTGGGAAAGAGAAGTGAAGTGGGAAGATTTGGGGGGGCAGGGGTTGGGTTGGTCTTAAGTAAAAGTGCATTGCTTCTCGTCCTTTTGGCTAAGATAAATGTAAGATAAAAGTGCTGGGGATGTAGGACAGTGGGTATAGTGCTTGCCCTAACATGCAAGAAGCCCAGAGTTAAGTCCTCGAGTATCATATAAACCAGGAGATGGAGACAGGAGATCAGAAATAAAAGGTTATTTTCAGCAAGTAAAGGATGAGCGATGGCAGAGTGTAGTTACTCCAAACTGAGCCAAAATTTGAGGAGGGAGGGAAGAACTGGTGAGGAAAAAAAGAAATACACCAAAGTCAGTGAAACGAAGAGCGGTTTAAAGAAATATTGTTTACATTGGCCCCTTCTTCAGTTAAACAGGTGTTCAAGGAGCTGGAGTTTCTGGGTTGGTATACCACAGGGGGGCCGCCTGACCCCTCCGACATCCACGTCCATAAGCAGGTATACAGGTTCAAATGTGTACATGTTGGGGAAGAGAACCAAACATAAGAGGAAGAAAGGTTGACTTTTGGGGGGTGCCTTCTCTTTTCTTTTAGGTGTGCGAGATAATTGAGAGCCCCCTCTTTCTGAAGTTGAACCCCATGACCAAGCACACAGATGTGAGTATTGCTGACCCTATGTCCCCTTTGTCTTTATCATCTACCACTCTGCCTGCTTTTGATCCTCATGCTCTGCTGTAATTTACTGTGTGACATCATCTGTATTAGAGAATGCTTGAGTTGAATGTCTACCATGCTGCTAGTTACCCATCAATTCTATGATGTCATCTTGTAAGTGGCACTTTCATATGTAATGTGGGTATGTTTTGGGGAAAATTGAAAAGGTGAGCCAAGTGTGTCCACATACTTTTAATCAGTTTTAGCACTCAGAAGGTTGAGGCAGGATTGTGAGTTCCAGGCCAGCCTGGCACATGTTTAAGTTCAAGTGCATTTGCTCTTAGTAAGAGTTGTCTCCATCTGTCTTACAGCTTCCTGTCAGCGTTTTTGAGTCTGTCATCGATATAATCAATGGAGAGGTAATACCTACCCTGCAACCTTCAATTCCTGCTTTTAGCCTGTTTCCTGCATGCCATGCACATGTATGCAGTCACAGGACCACCCTGGATGTCCATCCTTACTTTCTACTTTGTTTGAGACAGCATCTTGTTTGCCAGGCTGGTTGCCTGGGGGTTTCTGGGAATTGTGCCCTACTTCTGGTCTTGTAGGAGTGCTGGGGGTACAGACACATTCTTACCACATCTAGCTTACTGTGGGTTCTGAGGATCTAAAGTCAGATCCTCAGGGTTGTGCAGCCATCTGCTCCTTTGTTTCCGATTCTGACTCTTCTCATGTGGGAACCCTTTGCTCTGCAGGCTACAATGCTGTTTGCTGAGCTCACGTACACACTGGCCACTGAGGAAGCTGAACGTATCGGTGTAGACCATGTGGCACGGATGACAGCAACAGGCAGTGGGGAGAACTCCACTGGTAAGGGAGGTGAATTCTTTCGAAGTGTGGGGTGGCTGTGGTCACATACTGTCTTTCATTTGCCGCATTCCCCTGCAGTGGCCGAACACCTGATAGCTCAGCATAGTGCCATCAAGATGCTGCACAGCCGCGTGAAGCTCATTTTAGAGTATGTCAAGGCCTCAGAAGCAGGTAGGACAGGTGCCTCTGTCACTTTTAATCGTTTTTCCTCCCTCCTGGAGAAGTGACAGCATCCCCATCAGTGCAGCCTCATTGTACCCTTAGGAGAGGTCCCCTTCAACCATGAGATCCTGCGTGAGGCCTATGCCCTATGTCACTGTCTACCAGTTCTCAGCACAGACAAGTTCAAGACAGACTTTTATGATGTGAGTGTTAATACCCCTGTTGGGGAGGTGGGGCTCACACCATCACACCAACCTCAGTTGTCCTTGGCCCTAATGTGAGAGATCCCTGGGGAACTGGCTCTTTCTGTTCCCTCCCAGCAATGCAATGACGTGGGGCTCATGGCCTACCTCGGCACCATCACCAAAACGTGCAACACAATGAACCAGTTTGTGAACAAGTTCAACGTTCTCTACGACCGACAGGGCATCGGCAGGCGAATGCGGGGACTGTTTTTCTGATGAGGGTTCTAGAAGGGATGATGTACAGGGCTCAGACAACTGTTACTGGGCACTACATTCCCCTTAGAGAAACTGTCATTAATAAAAGAGCAGCCCCTTAGCAGCCCTTCCAGTGGCTTTGTCCTACCAGCCCCACACTGGTTTCTCAAACTTGGAATCCTCAAAGCAGCCCTGCTCAGAGGCAGAATCTACTCACCACTACGTCTCCACTGCCTACCCACCTTTTAATGACTTGAGGTAACCCCTTGTCTAGATAGGCAGAATGTGGTAGGACTGCCTGTTTGCTTCTAGTTCTGTGGTAGCAATTTACATAGGCCAACCCACAGAAATGACAAATGACTGCTTTTCCAGTCTCTGAACGGGAGGGATAAAGAGCCTATCTTGTAATTATGGATAACGTAAACCCTTGGTCCCATGGAAGTGAAAAGTACCAAGAGGAACAATTTCTTTGAGTCTCTACTTCAGCCCATCTGTGAAACTTCCACTGAAGTCATTTCTTGTGCCATCCTCCATCTCCTATTTCACCACCCTCTCAAGAGGTGGGAATTAAAAAGAATGTCTACAATGGAAATATTTCAAGAAATGAGTGGGAGCTGGGCATTGGTGGTGCATGCCTTTAATCCCAGCACTCGGGAGGCAGAGGCAGGCAGATCTCTATGAGTTTGGGGCCAGCCTGGTATCCAGAGCGAGTACCAGGACAGGCTCCAAAACTACACAGAGAAACCCTGTCTCAAAAAAAAAGTGGGCCCTAGGCCCTGATCCTGGCACTGTATTGATTAGCACACAGTAAGGCTCAGTGCTTCATACATACCAGGGGAGAAGGCTCTATTAAGTCCTTGCCACACCCTAGCTCTTAAATGTGGCAAGGTAGAATAGAAACTTACATTGGAATTAGTAGTGTTTGCCCATTCCCCAAAAAATGCTATCTTAACAGAAGCCAGGCCCAAAGTCAAAACATTTTATTAACAAACAAAAAAGTGCAGTATGGGAAAATTCGATCTGTTCCTTTGGGGCATCCAGCAAATGCTATGGGGTGCGCAGCAGGGCCTTAAAAGCTGGTCGTCAGACAAAGGGTGAACCTCAAAGCTGGTCATCAGACAAAAGTGATGCGTGTCCGAGAAGTATTGACCTGCCAGACATTTAGCTCCTCATATTCATCCAGAGCTGCCTGGAATTGGGCTGGTGTGAAACCACGTGATATGCAGCGCTGCTCAGCCTCAGAAAACCGGACACTTCGTCCCCCTGAGACCAATTCACGAACTGTGGCAAATATCACATCTGCTGGCCTCTGGGTCCTGAAACACATAGATGGAAAATGTCAGTGTGCAGGGCTAAGCAAACAGAATAGCAATCAGAATCAAAATCCTGAGGTCAAACTTGTATGTTTGGGTGCAGAAGCCACAAAACTTATGACCAGCTCAATAAAGTCAAGTGCCCCAATTTCATCTTCATTAAGACACTCACCTAGCTGTTTGTCCCTTTTCACCTAGAAGTGAGTCCTTTGACATCTCCATCAACCTTATGGCTTCATTTACATCTTCTTTTTCCACAATGTCCACCATACGGAGGCGAGCCTAAGGGGGAAGGCAAGAAAAAGATGGGGATAGGAGGGGAGAAAGGGGATGAAGTCAAAGGTCTTCACTGCTCCAGCTTCAAGGGTGGCAAGCCATGTTTGCCCACTTAAAAAAATGGGGACTCCTCCCTGCCCCCTCCCCCAATCTGCAGTGTTGGGCCGGCACTGTCAGACCGAGACAAGTGCAATGCCCAGGGCAGCTTCCAGCAATTGCCCAAGTCTCCGCCTCTCAACACTGGCCAGTCCCGGTAGGTGTTCAGCTGTCCTGTGAGGGAGACCAGACCCTTCTGAACTCCACTAGGTTCCCCATCATGACAAATGGGGCCTGGGGAGCTCAGCTAGGGTCATTGTCAGAGAGGTTGTGTCCTGGGGGCTCGGGAAGTGCTAGCTCAGCAGTAGGTCAGGTAATTACACTACCTGCACGAACAGCACTTTGGAGCCCCCATGACTAAGGTCCAAGAGGGAAGGACAGAATGGAGATATCTAAGACCATATATCTAGGACATCAGGAATTCAACAAGTCCATCTGCCCCTCTTGGATTTAAGTAGCAAGCAGCCTTTCCCTCCATGGGTGTTGTATGTGCCCTGCTGGAGCAGCAAGTACCCACAGTGCGGTAGCACAGAGAGGACCACTATCTGCACTGTCAGCACTTTAGCCCCAGCAGGGCTAGTGGGAGGGAGGAAGAGGCAGCCTGAGGGCCATTAAGGTGAGGTGGCAGGCAAGGGTCAGCCTTCCAGCTGACAGGACACAGCACTCACCAGAGCAGTAGAAAGTCGAAGAATGGCCAGTAGGGTCCGGGCAGAAGTATAGGTGGCATCCTTACTGGCCCGGGCCTCTCGCCTCATCTCTACATATGCTGCTGTGATGTAGTCAGCCAGAGATTCAGGCACGGTAGGCTGCCTCTCTCGGCACATGGCTATGTACCGTCTGTGGGAAACAAGGCTTGTGGGAAAGCAGAACACAGGCGTGCTTTATAGATTCCCTACTTAATATTCTATGCAGGAAGTGGACAGCTACTTGCTTGGGCATCACTGAGGGACTCCTCCAAAACAGGGCTGCCAGTGCTCAAGTAATTTGCAACTTTTCAGGAAAATTAATTTGCACTACACCTGCACTGGGATGACCTAACCCCTCTGAACTTGTCACAAAGGGAAGACCAGGTGAAACCAATTTAGAGACTTGAAGATCACTGAGATATCTATGCCACAGTACCACACATGATCAAGATGTACCTGCCTCACCGCTAGGTCAGGATGATGGTGAGGAAGGAAGGTTCTTCTATGTATGGGGAAGGGGGTAATTATGGCAACATTCCCAACAGACCTCTAAAGATCTCCTGTTTCCACAGTAGCTAGGATTAGAGCCTGCTGCTCTATCATCCCAAACTAGAAAAAAAACTTCTGATGATGCCCTCTGCCTTGTATGGCTAGGCTACAAAGTTGAGACCTGGTGTGACACCCTCCCCCTACCTCATAAGCTTCATGTCCAAAGGTTCAAACTGGGCAGGGGGCTGCCGGCTGTGCTGGTGGACATAGGTGATGTGCTGGGCCAACCTAGAGAGAACACAGGCGAAACTAAGAGCTATATACCTTGAGGACCCCCCATCTTAGCCCTACCTCTTTGCCATAGCACAGCAGAGACAGGCCTCCCAGGAAAACCTTAGCATCTCAGCCCCAACCTTCCATCTCCCTAGGAACTGTGGAAAAATTGAGTGGCTTTCTGATTTTACCTTCCTCCCCCCAAAGCACTAAAACGGGCTGTCTCTATGGGTATTGTACTTTATTCACCGGAGGTCATTATCTCGGTCAGGCCGGTCCTGAATCAGCCATAAAAGGTCGAATCGGGAAAGCAGAGCAGCAGGAAGCTGTATGTTCTGCTCCAGGCTTCGGCGGGGGTTGTATCGCCCATAGGCAGGGTTGGCAGCAGCCAGGATAGAGCACCGGGCATTGAGTGTGGTGAGAATCCCTGCTTTGGCAATGGAGATGGTCTGTTGTTCCATGACCTCATGGATGGCTGTGCGGTCAGCTTCGGCCATTTTGTCAAACTCATCGATACAGCACACACCCTGGTCAGCCAGCACCAGGGCTCCACCCTCTAAGGTCAGTTCCCCACTCACAGAGTCTCTCAGTACAGCCGCTGTGAGCCCCACTCCAGAGGAGCCCCGGCCTGTTGTATACTGACCTGCAATGAGAAACAGCAGACTGTTGAAGAAAGGAACCACTGCCTCATGCCTTCAAGAGGCTTTAGTGTTTCAAACAAACACTAAGCTCTGTCCCTGCCCATACTCACTTCGGGGGGCCAGACGATCGATGTAAGATAGGAGCTGAGATTTGGCCACACCAGGGTCTCCCATAAGGCAGATGTGGATGTTTCCTGGAAAATGGGAAGAGCATTTGACATGAGACCCAGTTCCCCTCTCAAACTCCATATTATTCCTCTAAGACCACAGAGCCAAGTCATCAACTAGTGTTGATGTGACTGATCCCTTCTGACCCTCCTAACACTCCCCATCCCATCTCTGCTGCCCTTCTTACCCCTGATCTTCATGCCTTGAGGAGACTGGTCCACACCACCCACCAGGAGCAGCAACAGTGCTTTCTTCACATCCTCGTGCCCATAGATCTCTGGAGCAATAGAAGCTGCCAGCTTTTCATAGAAGTCCTCTTCTGCAAAAGTCAAGCCATAGCATTTTCTTCAGGACAAAAGCTAGGGTTACACTCAGCTATCAACCTGACTTTGTAGCCCCTCACCTGCAATCTGTTTTAGTTCCTCCCCGCTCAGCTCTCCAGCCTCAGCTGCATCATCCTCACTCTTAGTCATCTTCACAATCCGGTGGGCTTCCAGGAATGTTTCTGAGAGTAAACCCTGGGCAGAAGAATGGCTTCCCTTTAAACTGTCCATAACCAGAACGTCTAAGAACTTTTTCACAACCACAAGTTGCACGTCATTGGTTTTACTTTTCTAAAGGTGTGAAGAGAGTAAGCAGGTGGGCAAGGTGGAAAGGGAACTATTTCCTCATTTGAAAAAGCCCTCACCTGTGCCATCTGTTGGAACCCTGTACGCAGGACTGGCAAGAAGATACCAGTGACACTGACATGGTCACCAGGCAGGGCAGTCCTTGTATTCTCTCCTTGTAAAACCACTGTGATGCTACGAGGGATGTTTCCCACAGGAACTTGATCACTCTAGGCATTTTGGGGGACAGAACAGGGAACAAATGAGACAAGGAGAAAAGTGAGGCAGACAGGGAGCTGACCTGAATATGCACCAGAAGCCCATTCCATGGTTAAGACTCAGCCAGCCCAACTTAGAAGACTTCAGGAAGTTGAGTGCTTACCCTCATCCCAATATAACCAGAAAATTTCAATTAAATCACATTTTGACTTCCTGTCTAAAAGCATGAAAAATTCTTTTTTTTGTTGTTGTTGTTTGTTTTTTTGAAATAGGGTTTCTCTGTGGCTTTGGAGGCTGTCCTGGAACTCACTCATGTAGACCAGGCTGGTGTCAAACTCACAGAGATCCGCCTGTCTTGCCTCCCAAGTGCTGAGATTAAAGGTGTGCGCCACCACTGCCCGGCTGAAAAATTCCAGTTTAACCTCGATCGTATTGCACTATAAATGACTTCTCTTCCCTAGCTCTTCACTCATCGTTCTGCCAATTTCTAACCCACTGCAGGGCTCACATCGCCCAACTCACATGTTCTTGAATCTTCATTTCTTGGAATTTAATAAATTTGGAACCACGAGTCTGCAGGTAAAGCCGCCCTCCTGAGCGGTTGGTTTGGCACTCCTGGCTGGGACACATTATCAAAGGCATGAAGGTGGGAGACTGGATCTAGACAAGAAACAGGAAACAGGAAAGCAAAAGCCCCTTACAATCACAAGAATCATTTCTGCTCTGCTACAGGGCATTCACAAAGTATTTGAACCCCTTGAATCAAGCAGAAACACTGGTAAAACAAAATGTCCAGAGATTTTCCCTGTTCCCTACTGTACATACCGGCTGGTAAGTCTCTGCCCCACACTGATCACAAGTATATGTGGCCACCACCATCCGAGGTTTGACTTCAGAGACACGAGTGACAATCCCACGAACAGTCACCAATTTCCCCACAGAATCAGCCCGCACTTCTCGGATCACTCGAGGCTTGCTGCTACTTGGGCCTTGGAAATACAACTCACTAGAGAAGAAAACATTTGTCAGCAAGGTCCTGGAGAACAAGTTCCTGACCTTACCCACAAAGACACTTACAATCTACGCATCAGCTCAGAAGGATATTGATTTTGAGGGTTCCGGACTGCCCCAGGGTCTCTGCTCCGCTGCTCCATCATCAGTCGGTGCTCAATGTAAACATCCAGAACATCTTTATTCACCACCTAAAGAAGACAAGGAAAGTGAGAAGCAGGACAGGAAAAGAATGGGGGTTATCGGGCAGGAGAGCTCAGAAACCAGCAACCTACCTCCTTCTCCTTGTACTCAGGCAGAAGCTCTTGTACAACATCAGCAAACAGCTTTGAGTAGCGTTTGGCATTCTCACAAATTGAGTCGACCAGCTCAGGGTCATCTTCAGCAACATCATCTAGGTCCACGTACAATGCCACTTGTTCCCGATGAGCCAGATGAACCTGAGGCAAGGACCAAGTTTACTACATCCACAAAAACAAAAGATCACAGTGCAGAAACACTTTCAGCCCCGAAAACAACTTCCTGACTCCTATAAACACTGCCCCACATACCAGACAAGTACTCTGCTAAACTAGCCACTACAGTCTAGCATGGCAGTGTGCTTGTAATCCCAGTACTTGGGAGGCACAAGTCAGGATGATCAGGAGTTCAAAGCCAATCTCAGCTATTTAACCACATGAAGTATTCTTGAGGCCAGTCCATGTCACACAAATACTATCTCTAAAAACCAAGAGCCAAGAATAGGGGTGATGGCTCAATGGGCCAGGCACTGCCACCCAGCCTGAAGAACTGAGTTTGATCCCCAGAACCCACAGTGAGAGAATGGACCCCCAAATTGTACATTCGACCTCCATTTCCATGTAAGCCCACACATACACGAATAAACATAATTCAAACAGTTAAAAAAAGACAAAACCCAAAGCTAAAAAGAAAAACTTTGTACACAACAACCAAAACCAAATCATTCACGCCTTTAGTCCCAGCACTGGGGAAGCAGAGGCAAGTGGATCTCTGTGAGTTTGAGACCAGCCTGGTCTGCAAGAGTGAGTTCCAGGACAGCCTCCAAAGCCACAGAGAAACCCTGTCTCGAAAAACCCACAAAACAAACAAACAAAAATCCACTGACAGCCATACTTGCTGTAACAAGGTAGACCACCTTGTACAAGTTCTTACATGCTATTCCAACCCCCCATTACCAATCCTGGGACTTACCAACTGGGTTCCATACTTGAACTGCTTCTTTCCGAGTTCATCATCATAATAAAACTCTTGCAGGAATTTTCTAACTTTTTCTACAAACAAATGTAAAAATTCAAAAACAAATCTTAAGGAACAGTGAGGTGTAAAGACCACTGCGGCCAAGCCTGACTATCAGAGTTCAATCCCTGGGCCCCACCCACAGGCTGGGAGAGAACACACTCTCGGCCTGTATCTAACACCCACGTGCAAGTAGTGGTATGTTCGTGCAGCACACACAATCTACCTTTTCGGATTCTTTAAATTTTCAACGGAAGCCTAAGAAACCCACTTTCATTTAGGACGGGACCTATGAACTAATTAGTTAAATGAACAGTCAAAAGAAGCCTACCTAGTTCTCCCCCAAGCGGGCAGTACCCCTTTTCACAAGTCTGCTTTTACCCGGGGAAGGATACAGGTCCCTGGGCAGTTACGAGAGTCTTACCCCAAGCTTCCAAAGAGAATGTGACTCACTGCCCAGTTAGGAGTCTCAGTTTCTTCCGTTCTCTCAGCTCGCACACGATCGACTTTCAAGACTCTCGGTCCTCCTTCCACCCGTACAACTCTTTTTCTACTCCCGCCAGGACG